GGGATGTGCCTACGTCTGTGTGCACGTGCACGTATGTGTACGCACGTATATGTACATGTATGTGTACGCACGTATGTGTACGCAGCCGGTATTCGTTCCTATGGCTCTGTATTGGTTTTTAGAAGTGGGAAGATGTGGGGCTAGGCCATCACTATGCTCTTTCCAGAAATAGAACCTGCTAGATATTAATTTTTATTTACACAAATTGTAATTTGATCCTTTAAATTGGAGAGGGAATCGAGTAAGTAAAGTTCTAAATTATTAAATCGACACATCAGTTTTGTTTTGCAGTAGTAATGTTTTGTTAAAATGAGCGAATTGATTATCACATTCTCAGCTTTTAGGAAGGTGAGCTAAGACAAAGCAATGCTTAGCATTTTTCTGAAACCTTTGGATGCAGTCAGGACAAGAGAGAGGTGACTGTGCCCAGCTTTATCACCTCTGGCCAGGTTTCTAGTGTTTTTTTTGTGTGTGTGCTCTATTTAATTGAATGATTGCTTTGGACATTTTCTGTTTTGGGGGCAAAAGCCCAGTGAAGATGGGCTGGGATCAGTGGCCAGTGGCTCATACCTTCAATACCTACACTTGGGGAGGCCGAGGCAGGAGGATCGCTGGAGGCCAGGAGTTCAAGACTGGCCTGGGCAACATAGTGAGACCCTGTCTCCACAAAAAAACAAACAAAAAAATTAGACAGGCGTATTAGCACACTCCTTTAGTCCTGGCTCCTCAGGAAGCCGAGGTGGGAGGATCCCTTGAGCCCAGGAGGTCAAGGCTGCAGTGCTCTGTAGTCACACCAGTGTATTCCGGCCTGGGTGACAGATGGAGACCCTGTCTCAAAAAAAAAAAAAAAAAAAAAAGAAGATAGAGATGATGGAAGGATTGAAGGATACTTATTGCTTAGTCAGAAATATAGGGCTGTGGGCCGGGTGCCGTGGCTGACACCTGTAATCCCAGCACTGTGGGAGGTCGAGGCGGGAGGATCAGCTGAGCCCAGGAGTTCAAGATCAGCCTGGGTAGCTGTAGACACAAAAGTAGTCTCTACAAAAAAATACAAAAAATAAGCCAGGCGTGATCTTGTGTAACTGTAGTTCCACCTACTGGGGAGGCTGAGTGGGGGATTGCTTGAGGCCAGGAGGTCAAGGCCTGTAGTGAGCCATGATCATGCCACTGCACTCCAACTTGGGCATCACAGCAATACCTGTCTCAAGGGGGCGGGGGCGGGGGGAAGAAAAAGAAAAGAAACATAGGGCTATGGGAAAATATTCCTTTATTTCCTCTCTCCAGTGTCTGTTAAAGCTCAGAGGGATGAGAAGATTGCTGTTCAGGATTACGTACTCTCGAATCTCATCGTAACCAGATCAGTGAGCCAGTGCGGAAATAGCTTTCTTGTAGTGACTTCTACCTCACAGGGCATTTCACAGCAGTGCTTTCTCCTCTGTTGGGAAAGGAAGCATAGTCTGTACTAGCGGGTAGAGAACTGAAGTTCATTTTGTATTCTCCCAGCACCTAATCCAGAACTTGTGCCATGTGAGGTGACCAGTACAGTTACTTAAGTCCAGCCCACAAATAGGCAGGAATTCCAAAATGTGCATTGAAATTGTCTTGGCCGGGCACGGTGGCTCACTCCTGTAATCCCAGCACTTTGGGAGGCCGAGGCTGGTGGATCACCTGAGGTCAGGAGTTTGAGACCAGCCTGGCCAACATGGTGAAACCCTGTCTCTACTAAAAATACAAACATTAGCCGGGCATGGTGGCGGGCGCCTGTAATCTCAGCTGCTTGAGAGGCTGAGGCAGGAGAATCACTTGAACCTGGGGGGCAGAGGTTGCAGCGAGCTGAGATCGCACCACTGCACTCCAGCCTGGGGAATAAGAGCGAGACTTACCGTAATGTTGACCTGTGTTATTGGAATGGTTTGATTTGCAGGTGACACAAAGCAGAAGATGTATCAGAAGTTAAGTCTCTGCATTACTACTTTGGGGCGTAATTTAATTTTTGGAAGGATTTTTACTTAGCTGTAGACTGAATTTTCTCAGTCTCGTGGCCCGCTGCTGTGCTGCCGTGCATTCCCTGGAAGGTAGCTGTTGCTGTGTAGAATGCACTGATTTCTTGCCGTCCATTTGGCTCTGGGCCGTCTCTTGTCTCTTGTGCCAGATTTGCACATCTGGTCCAGAGCAGGAGTTAAGGATTGGCTCTAGTAAGTGGATTAGTAGCTTTTCCTAATTACCAGATCTCATAACTAGAGTTGCGGCTGCCAGAATTGGTTATTCACAGTTCACAATTACCAAGATGATGATGAAGTACATGGATCTAGTCATAAAAGGCTCAGTTCAGGATGATGTCCTGCTTCCCAGCTGTGCGATTTGAGCAAGTTACATGGTTCCTCTAACCCAGCGTTCTCATCTGTTAGAGGGTATGATAATAGTGTCTACATCATAGGGCTGGCAGGCACTGTAGGAATGCATGTACCTGCATTCTCCTGAATGCAGTACCTGAAGCAGGGTAAGCACTCAAAAAAGGGTAGTTATTATTCATACATATTATAGGGCTTGATTGGAGACTGGTTAAATATGCTGTGCTTCATTGAATCTCAGAATCCAGTGATCACAAGACTGTACCGTTATATTATGTACTACTAAAAGGAGGTGATGGTAAGACATTGATTTACATGAAAAAAATGTGGATCTTAGAATAGGTAAACTAAGGTAAGTCACATTTTTAAAAGTTGTGGTAAAATATACCTAACATGAAATTTACATTTGACCATTTTTAAGCATACAGTTCAGTGACATTAAGTCCATCAGCATTGTTGTTGTACAGCCATCAAAACCATCCATCTTCGGAACGTTTTCGTCATCCCAAACCGAAACTCTCGTGCCCATTAAACACGAGCTCTCCATTCCCCACTCCCGCCAGTCTCTGGTAACCCTTCTTCTACTTTCTGTCCCTGGGAATTTGTCTATGGTAGATCCCTCTTACGATTTAGCTATATTTTTTTTTGAAATGGAGTCTCGCTCTGTTGCCCAGGCTGGAGTGCAGTGGCAAGATCTCTGCTCACTGCAAGCTCTGCCTCCCGGGTTCACGCCATTCTCCTGCCTCAGCCTCCTGAGTAGCTGGGACTACAGGCGCCTGCCACGGCGCCCAGCTAATTTTTTTGTATTTTTAGTAGAGATGGGGTTTCACCATGTTAGCCAGGAGGGTCTCGATCTCCTGACCTCGTGATCCGCCCGCCCTGGCCTCCCAGAGTGCTGGGATTACAGGCGTGAGCCACCGCGCCCGGCCTGATTTAGCTACATTTTTATAGAAATTGAATCTATGTGATCAGCAAGATTGGATGACCACGTCCTTTTCATCAAGGTTCTTAAACAAGCAGAAATGATCTGAGGAGGGAATTTTCTAGTTTAGAGATTTTGGAGGGAGGAAGTGGGAGGGAGTGTAGCAGGGGCTTATGTATTTTTATGGTACTCTTCTATTTTTGAATGTTTACATCTTTATTCTCTTGAATATAATTCATGAAGCAGGTAAAGATACAGCTTTTGTTCTATTTCTTTCCAACCACTTAGCCCCAGTACTATTTCCTGAGCAACTCATCTTTTTCTACTGATTTTAAAAAAGGTTCACTACAGAATTATAGACTGTTCCTTCACGAGATGCCTCGTCAGAGAAGAGCAGTTTTCCCTTGCAATTTTATGTGACACTTTGTAAATTCAGAGATAATGGAAAAGCCAAAATGTAAACACAAAAATTTCACTGTCAATAATCTGGCTCTTTTTCTATGTAAATAAGGTCTCTCAAGTCTTCTCTCCATAGGAAGAACTAAACGGTTCCATTTAACCTTTTTAATTTTATGCTAAATTTATTTTACTCTAATGGCACCACCACCTCTCATTTAGTCGTGCCAGTTAAGAGTAATACTGGCAGAAGTAAATTAAATCAGTGCGTAACGTGCCCGTTTGAGTTAGGACCTTGGAAAACGCAGCAGGAACGCAAACTCATCAGTTGGAGAAGGCAGAGACAGGGTGGCAGGTGGGAAGCCCTCCCAGCTGTGGGTACCATTTTTGTTCTTAGGGCACTCTAGGACATTTTTTTGAGTTGCCTTTGTGTGCTGCAGGTACCCTTGGTGAGCTGCCCAGATGAGGCTGACTTCTGCCTTTTAGAGCCAATCGCTAAGGCAAAGTCAAATTCCATAAATCTGTTATTTCACAAAATGAGGTGTATTCTACAGTTTTCACATTCTTCAGCTCCATCAACACTTGTGTAAGGAGTGGTGGGTAAATACATACTCTTACAGTGGCATTTCTTATTTTCTGCTTCAGACACGCTCATTTCCCACCTTTCCTTTTAATCTGCCTGTTTCCTTGACACACCTGCTTCTGAACCCCATTGTCATCTCTCCCTGCTGTGACGGTTCACCAGCACTTCACGGTACTGGAGACTCTTTCAACTTGCGTTTTCCACCAACTGTCAGTTGCAAAATAAGGTTGCTTTGTTTGGGAGGGAGAGGGTAGAATCCTTTCCGAATGTCTCCTTTTCCTTTGAAGCAGGAGCACTTCAGAGACAATTGAACTGCTTTTAGGTTTTTCCTACCACCCAGCTTTTTCTTCTGATTGATCCTGCGGTGAACACACGGTTCTGTTGATGACATCGATTTGTTGCTATGGAAATAGTGGTAATGTCCCAGATTCAACCCAGTGACTTTACTGCAGGTTGTTGCAGGAGAAATGGGCAAGGCTTTAGGGGAGAACCTCATTAAAACTGAAGGCTATCAATTCTAAGCAGGTGAAAGGTAGATGGAGCCAACCTTTTATGTAATGAAAACACAAAGTGAACCCCTAGCAGATGCACTGCGTGCCGTTGAATGCCTCCGCATGAATTCTAACCCATGGGAGTCTTTGACCAAATAAAAAAATTTACACTTTCCCAGAGCATTTCTTCCACCCCAGTTTAAATCTCTTAACCCAAATCCTTTGCACTAAAATGAGCTTTCCCTTTTGGTCTTCAGGACATGGGCAGCCACAAGCAGCTCCTCCAGCGTCAGCAGGCAGCCCAGCGGCAAGCAGCAAGCCCCAGCAACAGCACGGAAGCTCGGGAGCGGGTAAGACGCCTCTCGAGGGCACGCGCTGACCGTGGGCGTCAGACTTGGGAATCATGTTTTGAAATTTAATCTGGGACTAAAGGGAGTTTTCCAGATGCCATTCATTACAGGGTTGTGTCTTGCAAAGGATAATTCTGATTCATACTTTAGAGTATGTGATTGAAAAAATGATTAAAGATTGTCTTTTTTTTTTTTTTTTTTTGAGGTAGGATCTTGCTCTGTCACCCAGGCTGGAGTGCAGTGGTACCATCACAGCTCATTGCAGCCTTAACCTCCCAAGTAGCTGGTACTGTGGGCACATGCCGCCGTGCCTGGCTAATTTTTTTGTAGAAATGATGTCTTACTATGTTGCCCTGGCTGGTCTCAAACTCCTGGCCTCAAGCAATCCTCCGTCCTTAGCCTCCCAAAGTGCTGGGATTATAGGTGTGAGCCAGAGTGTCCAGCCAAAGATAGTCTTTTAAGGATACTTAATAGCCAGACTTTTTAAAAAAAAAAAAAAAAATCAAATTGATACATTCTTCTCTGTTCATAGTTTACCACGTAGTTTCTTAGTTTCCCACCTTTTCAGGTTTTACACCCTCTGACTTTCTGCGAATTTGCATTCCTTTCAAGTTCTTGCCTCTTAACTATTCAGGACCCACTTAGTAAATTTGGCTTGTCCGTCTCCAAGTTTCCCATTTTGGGCCTCGTGGGTGTTTATCGTTTGCGTGAAGACAGTATTACTTACATTGGTCATAGGTTCTCCTTCTCAATTTCATGGATGAGAAATGGTTTCTTCATTTACTTTTCTCTGCAGCAGGTCCTGAGAGGCCCTAATGAAATCATTTTGTTTACTTTCTGGCCTTTACTTTAGGAACCTCTTGATCTGGGAAGTCACCGTCGAAAATTTGGATTTGTAGAATGTGGTTAGTTTTATTTTTAGAGGTCCTTTTTTCTGTCACGGCTTCACATACACCTCCTCTCCTCCCCTCAACTATTAGTTTCTATTTTTCAGTGCTAAGATTCTAAGAAAAGCGAGGTTAAGACGTCACTAATGTTTCTGTGAAACTTTCAGGACGTTTCCCCCCATTGCTCTTCGTTGTTTTTAATCTGCCTCGCAATGTCTGTCTACCTCTCTCGCTCTTACGAGCTCTCTCTCTCTCTCTCGCTCGCTCGCTCGCTCTCGCTTTTACGAGCTCTCTCTCTCTCTCGCTTTCTCTCTCGCTCTTACGAGCTCTCTCTCTCTCCCCTTTTATAAGTGGATCTATTTATACACAACTCTCAAATAATATGCTGTTGGCCAGGCGTGGTGGCTTACGCTTATAATCCCAGCACTCTGGGAGGCCGAGGTGGGCGGATCACCTGCAGGAGTTCGAGACCAGCCTGGCCAACATGGTGAAACCCCATCTCTACTGAAAATACAAAAATTAATCAGGCGCGGTGGTGTGTGCCGGTAATCCCAGCTACTCGGGAGGCTGAGGCATGAGAATCGTTTGAACCCAGGAGGTGGAGGTTGCAGTGAGCCAAGTTCGCACCAGTGCCCTCTAGCCTGGACAACAGAGTGAGATTCTGTCTCAAAAAAAAAATATATACACACACCCACACACACACTTTTGAAGAGGGTGGTGAAATAGACTCTAACGTGGTAAATAATCATTTCCTTAGGCTGATATACAAATAGTACATTATGCCTCTCTCTCCCTCCACAGAATTATTTTTCTGGTTGTCTATCTTTGCCTTATATTAAAATACATTTTAAAAAATCTGGGCTGGGCACAGTGGCTTACACCTGTAATCCCAGCACTTCGGGAGGCCAGAGCAGGGAGGATTGCTTAGCCCAGGAGTTTGATACCAGCCTGGACAACATAGTAAGATCCTATCTCTATAAAAATTTTTTTAAAAGAATCAGTCGGGCATGGTGGTGCACGCCTATAGTCCCAGTCACTCGAGAAGCTGAAGTGGGAGGATTGTTTGAGCTCAGGAATTTGAGACTGCAGCGAGCTAATATCATGCCACTGCACTCCAGCCTGGGGGACAGAGCAAGACCTTGTCTCAAAAAAATGAAAATCAGTTAATGTTCCCTAAACTATGTAGTGAAAGAAAATAAACTGGATATGTACGGAGGAGAAGCTACCCAGCATGAAATAAATTGGATGAATGGATGCTTGTGTGTGTTTTATGAAATTATAAATTACGTATGGGTATACACATGTATTCTACAAAGGACATGCGTTTCCGTACACAGTCTTGAGGTAATTACTGTTGTGTGTGTATTGATCTCTCTTGACTCCCCCGTTAGAACAGAAAAATTTTAACCCTGGAACACTCCTATGTATATTTTTTACTAATTACTGCGGGTGCCTAGAAGGGTGTGGTACGTGCTGTGGAAACTCAGTAAATAAATACTGGATAGATGGTGTATTGATTCTTTTAGCCAAATTCTATTCTGAAAAAATGTTTTGGTATAGAGGGTATGAAATCACTGAACTAAATTATATTTTCTGAATTTGGAGGTTGAGTTTTGCAGACACGTGGTGCGTCTAAAAGAACGCATCTGATCCCTGTGGCTTCCCGGTGCCGGGCAGCTGCTCAGGTTTGGATTAAGGAGGCAGAAGGGTCTTAGTGGTCACCCACTTACGTGTCTTGACCAGAACTGGTTCCTGCCCTTCGCACCCGACTCAACTCATTCTTACGGACTTCACTCTAGACTATTTAGTCTTCTAGACGCGTGGAGATCTGGGAGTTGTCTGGGGATTCGGAGGCAATCTATTTGTGATAGGTCCTTTACGTCCTGTCTTTCCTCTTGCTTTTTTTCTTATGTGACTAGTGCCTTGCCGTCAGTTTTGCCAGTTACGAAAGTTGATTTCCTTTTTCTGACCCGTTATCTCGCCCATTGAGGCAAGAGAAGTGTGTAAGAGGGCGGCCTTCAGAAAGAACAGTGTCTGGATTCATTACCATTATTGCCTTGACCTCGGGGCTGACGTCAGCAAACGTAACAGTGAGCGTCTGTGTGCGCAGCCTTCGTTCTAGATTGCTTTTCTAGCCTCCAGCCTCAGTCTCTATTTGATCTGCGTATCTCTTGCATGCTACAAAGGAAAAACTTTGCCTCTCATGTTATAGGATTTCACTAGTGGCACCTCAAACATTTAGAGTTATTGTAAAGCTTACTATAAAAAAGCTAAGTAGAATAATAATGCTCCTTTTTGTTTGCGTTTGTTTTTTAAGGTTCCACTGTTTCTAAGGCTTATGGTGCTTCAAAGACATTTGGAAAAGCTGGAGGTCCCAGCCTGTCAAACACTTCTGGGGGAACACAGTCCAAAGTGGTGCCCATTGCCAGCCTCACTCCTTACCAGTCCAAGTGAGTTATGCATAGAATAAGTTCAGAGTGTGATTACAGAATCGTAGAAGCTGTTATGGACTCTTGAGTTATTTATGCGCAAACTTCAGGGTCACCACCAAATAAAATGGGTTTACTCTTTTTTTTTTCTGAGGAGGAAAGGGGTACAGATTGTGGCAACCTTTAACTCTTGTTGGAAAATATAGCAATAGCAATCTGCCATAGCCTGTGAGGTTTCATTCATTTTGAAAGAATTTGAAATTAAAAATATTTAATGCTTAATCAGTTGGTAGTCTTATGAGTAAAAATAAATATTTCTGATAATTCAAAAGGCATTTACTCTTCTCCTATAAACAGGTGACTTCGTCTTTGGTTTAGTCGGCTAGATAATCTGCAGAATTTGTATTAACCACATTAACATACCCTGAGCCTATATTTCATTTATATGACTTTTTCCACTAAAAATTAATTTGAGGCTGGGCGCGGTGGCTCATGCCTGTCATCCCGGCACTTTAGGAGGCTGAGGTGGGCGGATCACCTGAAGTCGGGAGTTCGAGACCAGCCTGGCTGACATGGTGAAACCCTGTGTCTACTAAAAATACAAACATTAGCCAGGTGTGGTGGCGGACTCCTGTAATCCCAGCTACTCAGGAGGCTGAGGCAGGAGAATCGCTTGAACGCGGGAGGCAGAGGTTGCAGTGAGCTGAAATCGCGCCACTGCACTCCTGCCTGAGTGACAGTGTGAAATTCCGTCTCACAAAACAAATACACAAAATAAAGTAATTTGAATAGTTAAAAATTAGAGTTCCTTTTTCAGAATCCTTCCAGATATGTTTACATTTATTCTTCAATACTCTGTAATGTAGGAAAGATATTTTTCCCTGTGAAATCATAAGTAAGGTACCTAATGTGACCTGTGCCTCCTTTTTCCGTGCCTCTCTGCAAGGTCATGCTGCTTCGGCGTGTTCTCCCTGGTGGTCCACCGACATCGTGGATTTCTATTCAGGGTACATTAGGAGTGAGACAGAAGTTTGACACCAGTTACATCAGTTCCCATCATTGAAAACCATGGCAAAATATAATTGCTGGTGTGACTGTATTTTCCAGCTTAGAACCTTTCATTAAGGGGATATTGTTGCCTTGGTGATGCTTTTTGGAGAAGGGAGAGAGTTTATAAATTTACTTATTTGACAGGAGAATGAGTTAGTATTAAATCACCTTGCATGTTTTACTATTTGCTTATTCTGTAAACTGTCAAACCGATGTGTCATCTTGGGGTTTTAATTAGCTGGATTAAAATACAGGTTGGAAAATGGAATATGTGTTTGAAGACGAGAAAGGCTGTAGGAAGATGATTTCTTACTTGATCTTTTCTAAGGAAGACTCCAAACACTAATATAATCGATTTGGTTTGTAGGTGGACTATTTGTGCTCGTGTTACCAACAAAAGTCAGATCCGTACCTGGAGCAACTCCCGAGGGGAAGGGAAGCTTTTCTCTCTAGAACTGGTTGATGAAAGTGTGAGTATTTGTCACGTGGGGAAGTAAGAGTAGTAGACTCTCTGAGAAACAAAAAGCTCAGCTCTGCGGGCCTATGAGGTGAAAAATAATAGTAGGCCAGAGACAAGCATGATTGTTATTGTGCTTTTCCCTCTGTCTTTTGATGCTGTCTGGAGTAGAGGGTTAAGGTCATAAATAAAATCTTTGATCTCAAATACAGTGTTTGTAGCAGTAGAAAGTAGTTTTCTAAATGTGTAAGTAGCCCCATGGGCAGGAGGGACTGGAGACCATCTGATTTGCTGGCAGGTGCAGTCAGAGCACTGGGAGGTGATGCCTGCTTGTGAGCACAGTGCAGCTTTGGGCCACTGCAGAAGGCACGCAGTTGTGACCTTGGTACAGAAATGGTTTTGTGGGAAATGGGCTCTGACTGTGCACATTCTTTATTTGCTTTATTTAAACTAAACCAAACCATGACAATGAGACAAAATTCCTATCCCATGGAAGCATGACAGTCTTGATAGCTGTTCATCTATTAGTTTTATTAATAATTCCTGAAATTGCCGGGCATGGTGGCTCACGCCTGTAATTCCAGCACTTTGGGAGGCCAAGGTGGGCAGATCACTTGAGGTCAGGAGTTTGAGACCAGCCTGGCTAACATAGTGAAACCCCGTTTATACTAAAAATACAAAAATTAGCCAGCTGTGGTGGCAGGTGCCTGTAGTCCCAGCTACTTGGGAGGCTGAGGCAGGAGAATCGCTTGAACCCAGGAAGCAGAGGTTGCAGCCAGCCAAGATTGCACCACTGCACTCCAGCCTGGGCGACAGAGCAAGACTCCATCTAAATAATAGTAACAATAATAATAATAGTAATAATAATAATTCCTAAAATGTACTTCAGCCTTCTTTTCAAACTGCTGCAGATTTCCTGTCGGTTCAAACTCCCAAAGGGGGAGAAAAAAAGTAGATGTCTTTTTTTTTTTTTGGAAGTTAACACCCAGAATGTTTGACTGTGTGATGGCAGAATCAATATTAGAACCTAATTTTTTTTTTTTTTTTTTTTTTTGATTGACGGAGTCTCGCTTTGTCACCCAGGCTGGAGTGCAGTGGTGCGATCTCTGCTCATTGCAAAGTGCTGGGATTACAGGCTTGAGCCACCACGTTTTTTTTTTTTTTTTTTTTTTTTTTACAAATTATTGCTCCAATGTGTGGTGGGTTGGCTAAAATTTCTTGTCCACCTGTAGCATTCTGGCTGACAGAAAAGCAAAAGTGAAAATCAGATCACAAGCAACTTGAAAACATGACTTATTCTGACATTTTTGGCAACGCCCCGAATGTGAAGCGGTTTGTCACCGAGAGGGCAGCTGAAGGGAGTTGGTGAATCACCCCCGTGCAGCACATTCCTCCTGGGCTCCGGGCGTGCCCCTCAGTATTCAGCTGGTTCTGGTTTTTATTGTCAGAATAAATTAAACTCGTCGTTGCGCTTTTGTGCTGTTGTGTTTCTCAGCTGAGGCTAATGCAGCATGATTATGGGATCAGCTAGTTGAAATTCTCATTCTTCAGCGGGGCCAGTGACTTGAATGTGTGACTGTAAAATGCGGGTTCCTGGGATGTCCGTAGTCCTCTCTGGGCCCCGTTTGTGTGTGTGCCCTCAGATGTCACTTGGTGCTGGGGTGGCCTGTGTTCAGTCCCAGTGTCACTTGGTGCTGGGGTGGCCTGTG